CCTGTTAGTGGAAATCTAAGATAGATTAGCTGCTGCAGAAACCAGTAGGATGGTTCCTCAAAACATTTTTTAAAAATACCAGCAATTCCACTTCTGGGTATGTACCTAAAAGAATTTAAATCATGGTCTTGAAGAGCTATTTGTACATGCCTTGTTCAAAGCAGCATTATTCGCAATAAGAGTTTGAAAGGTATATATTTTCCTTTCCACTATATCCTCTGCTACTAGTACAATGCCTGGTGTATTGTAGATACTCATTAAATATGTCTAGGTATTTAATTTGATAATTAAATTAATTTAATTTGATAACTGAATGTTTTTGAATTAAAAAATTGAATAGATGACTCCTGATAGGCACATAACTGCAATCAACAGTTGCATTTTGCTATTACTAGAAATTCTGAAAAAAAATTTGTAAGAAATATGTTTGTGCTTTTCATTAAAGAAGGATTTTTGCATTGCTTGAGTTTTACTTTTCTACCTGACATTAAGATAACTATATATAGTGAAAGAAATCACACTGAATTGCAAGGCTCATTCTGGCTTGATTCACCCAGTTTGATTCTGTGTATCCTTGAACAGTCCTTTTATTCAGTTTCCTCATGTTTAAATCAAAGGAAGGAAACCTCTCTTCCTAATTCCCAAATTCATTGTAAAGCTCAAATAAGATAATTTACAAGAAATTCCTTCAGAACTTATAAAGCCTTGGGAGGAGAAGGGGACGACAGAGGATGAGATGGTTGGATGGCATCACCGACTCATGGACATGAGTCTGAGTAAACTCCAGGAGTTGGTGATGGACAGGGAGGCCTGGCGTGCTGCAGCCCCTGGAGTTGTAAAGAGTCAGACACGACTGAGGGACTGAACAGCAACAATAGCAAACCTCCTGTTTTGGGGGAAGAGGCCTGAAAGGCAAAGGCGTGGTGAGGTAACAGAGGTTGGCCCCTCTGCAGGTGGCATTATTGCCTCGAGCAGATTCCAGGGTCTGTTTGTGCGGAAGGATGCTGTGGGCTGGGTAGAAGCGCAGATAAGAGAAGCACTCCCTCCTCCTGGTGACATCCCCCTGGTACTTAACCTTAGGGTCACATGGTGCCAGGCCTGCAAGGGGCTTTCGAGAAGCCAGAAAAGACCTGGAACGTTGAGAGAGCCGTCCCTGGCCAGGAGTGAGGAGTCTCCCAGCTGATCTGCTGAGGCAGGGCGCTAAGTAAGGAGGAGGCACAGGCTCTGAATTCCCCTCCCCTTCCATGGTTGGCTGTTGAAGGGTTCCTGGTAGCAGTTAGAAGATGGCTCGATGCACAGTCGGATAGGGCCCTGTGCTGGGCAGGGCGGAGGAGGTGATGGTTCACTGGGCCTTGAGGGTTGAGTAGGAGTTTTCACTTGTCACATAGAGTTTATATATTTTTTCATTTTGTCTTTTGGGTTCTTGTTTTCTGTTTCCAGAGTAGACGGAGAAAGGCTAAAGGTAACATATTCAAACCAAATGCTGTTTACGTCATCCTCTGGGGCATTTAGTGACTGGCCAGGCAGGTAGCTTCCTGGGCATTTGGCTCCCAAGTGTCTGTAACCATAGGAGTCCTGGGAGTGGGTGGTTCCCAGTGTGCTGGACCCAGCTGCGAGAGAAGGTGATTCAGCTGGAGCACTCAGAGCAAGGCTTTTCCTGCAGCTAGTAGGAGAAGGTCCAGGCAGTATAGAGGCNGGGAGTGGGTGGTTCCCAGTGTGCTGGACCCAGCTGCGAGAGAAGGTGATTCAGCTGGAGCACTCAGAGCAAGGCTTTTCCTGCAGCTAGTAGGAGAAGGTCCAGGCAGTATAGAGGCAGCGCTTTAGAAACCCCATTCCTTAGCCCATAGAAAATACGGAAGAGCAGAAGGCAGCATGATCAGCTGTAACCACAGCACTTGGATCGCCCACTCTCGATTTACCTCAGATTTACTGATTTTAATTGAGGAGTGACTTCCCTCATGGCTCAGCCAGTTAAGGAGTCTGCCTGCAATGCAGGAGACCCAGGTTCAATCCCTGGGTCGGGAAGATCCCCTGGAGAAGGGAATGGCTACCCACTCCAGTACTCTTGCCTGGAGAATTCCATGGACAGAGGAGCCTGGTAGGCTACAGTTCATGGGGTTGCAAAGAGTCGGACACGACTGAGCAACTTCACTTCTTCAATTCAGTGGAGTAATTGGCATAGAATAAACAATGCATTTCAAGTGTGTGACTTAGAAGGTCCTGGGATGTGTATACACCCACNATTTCACAACCCATACAGCATTTTAAGATTACTGATGGCAACACATAAAGCAGATATTCAGTAGAGTTATTTCTTATATCTGAAATGTGCTCACGATTACAAGACTCTCAAGGTCACCTAAAAATATACCACATCTTCACTTGGCAGGTAGCTAGTGACTCTGAGCAAACTGTTTAACAGTTCTGGGACTTACTTGCTTCTCTGTCAAATGAAAAGGCTGAAATGGGTGATGCCTCAGGCCCTATGCAGCTCTAAAAAGATCCTACAACTTTGCCCAGAAAATGCATTTAAAGGCCATGTTGATGCCAGCCTCAGTACCGGCTAACTAGGTTTCAGGCTGCTTGTACCAGCATAGTTCCAGGAGACACCCTGACTGTCTTGGTGGCAAAGCAACTTCATTCCTCTCTCTGCCACAGAACTGGAACCAGTCAAGCCCAACCAAGTCCCTCCTGCTCCTCCTCCTCCCATCCTCTCTTCTTCCTTCACCCCGATCTCCCACCAAAGCCTCAAGAGGAGGCTTCTCAGGTCATTTCTTGCCCACCTCTGCTTCCACCGCAGCTTGACCTCCCCAGACTGTCCACACCAGCTTATAACACAACCACAACAATAAAGCTGCCCTTCGTTGACAGCTTTTCATTTGCTGGGTATTGTGCTAAGCCAAGTCTCCTTTACTGTGTCAACAAAAAGAGGTGGAAAGTCTTTTTAACCACATTTTGACAACTCCCTAAACCTTTTCTGCACGTTTCTTTGCAGGAGGGTTCAACTGAAAAGATTTTTTATAATATTACACTTTAATGTGTCTTTCTCCCGAATTCGCCCAGGAACTTTTTCTGTTGGAAACTGATCATTCATTTCCTCTCTCTACCTCCCAACCCTCTCCTCCCTCTCTCCTCTCCTCCATTTCCCTTCCACCTCTCTCCTCATTCCCTGCCAACTCCACTTCCACATATCTAACATACAGACTTCAAGGCCGAATCCGTATTCTCTATATCCCCAATGCCACATCCAGCTTCCTGTCATTTCATTCTTAAGCTAAAATTCTTCTTTTGAGGCTGATGCTATCCAATTACCCCCCACCACACCCTTCCACCATCCAAGGACTTCCGCACCTGGTTCATAGTCCACTTCTCTTCATCTCCTGCCATCATGGGAGACTTCCTGGCTATAAAGATGGCTCATTTAACACTCCAGTCTAATTCCTACTCCAGGACTTCAGTGTCAGTCCATTTCTAACCTCTTATTCCAGCGATTGTTGGGTCCAGGCCCCATGTCTATTCACTAAACTTTATCAAGATCTGGGGTTATATCTCAATTAGAATTCTAAACTCTGGCTTCCACCGTCCAACTTTAACCTACCATCCTTCATCTCTGTTAATCTCCTGCTCACTCCACCTGCTGTATATCCTCAAAAAAGTGCCCAATGACTCAATCTTTGTCTTTGCTCAGTGTATCTCTTCCTCTAGTCTTACTTCCTTCTTTACATATGACTATATGGTCAATCCAGAGAAGGCAATGGCACCCCACTCCACTACTCTTGCCTGGAAAATCCCATGGATGGAGGAGCCTGGTAGGGGTCAGTCCATGGGGTCGCTAAGAGTCAGGCACGACTGAGCGACTTCACTTCCACTTTTCACTTTCATGCACTGGAGAAGGAAATGGCAACCCACTCCAGTGTTCTTGCCTTGAGAATCCCAGGGATGGGGGAGCCTAGTGGGCTGCTATCTATGGGGTCACACAGAGTCGGACACGACTGAAGTGACTTAGCAGCAGCAGCAGCAGCAGCATATGGTCAATCACGGGCTTCACAGGTGGCTGAGTGGTAAAGAATCTACTTGCCAATGCAGGAGACGCAGGAGATGGGGGTTTGACCCCTGGGTCAGGAAGATTCCCCTAGAGGAAGAAATGGCAGCCCACTCCAATATTCTTGCCCGGAAAATCCCAAGGACAGAGGAGCCTGGTGGGCTACAGTCCATGGGGTCATAAAAGAGTTGGGACACAACTCAGCATGCACCAGAAACTTCTTCACTATTTTTTCCTTCTTCTGAGCCCATCTTCAAACCCCAAATGCATATCAGCCGATCATCTTCTCTCCTCCTACATGAAGATAACTTCCAAATATGCATTTAAATGTCATTAGAAATGAGAGTTGGTCCTTCAAGCCTTTCACTCATTGCTAGTCAGGCATCTTTCCCCATTCCAAGTACTTATTCTAAACATTCACACTTCCTATCTTCATATGAGACATTCCACCAACCCTTAAAACTCAGCTGGACCAAAGCTAACCCCAGTATCTTCCTCCTCTTGTGTTTCCTATCTCATTCAGTATTATAGGATTCCCAGCATCTGAAAGCAATTACCTAAGAGCCACCCCCAATTCTTATTCTTTATTCTCCAAATTCAATCAATGACCATCTCCTCTCAACTTCTTTCCATCCTACTACCCTCATCCTTTCCACCTGAACCATTTTCCTAGCCTTGTAACTGGTCTTATTTTTCATTTCAACGTGATTATGTTGTCCCCTGCTTTTTAGTTATGATTCATTTCAAAGTTTTTAATACAGACAGCTAAACATGATCCAGCCCCTATCTGGTCCTGACCATACATTTCTCAAAGATTGTAACTATGCATTTTTCATGTCTGCATTTATTTAGCATCATGTCTTTATTTTTACACTTAGTATTGACTAAGAAATGTAGTAGCTATACATTTTAAATAAAGGAATCAGTCAATATTTAGGTTATTGTTCAAGGTAACGAATAGATGTAATAATCACAGTAAGACAAGAGAAGTTAGTAGGATCATATATTTTTTAAAACAACACAATGCTTCTTGGTGTGGTGGGATAAAATATGTGTTTCTGTAGCTAATGGTTCTTTATATCAATATATCTCTCTGGTAATTAAGACCCTACTGTAGCTGATGGTACCCTATCACAAGCTTAACTTTTAAGACTTTATAATAACCTGTATCAAATAATAATGGTATATTCTTAGGGTCTAGATGAAAGTAAAGGATTACTCACCCAAAATTATAAGTTAAAATAATGAACTTAATATAGAATGAACCCTATTATATGTAAGATAACAAATATCCTGAAGCAACAACCCAGGATGGTAGACATTAATTTAGCCCCCCAAATCACCCAATTATACATAATTTCATGCTAATTTGAATGATGCCTTTTTTTTTCCTTTTGGCATGTATAACTCAAATAGAGACACCCCCCAATGTGTATAAAAGCCCAAAGAAGCCATCAGCACACAATATTCTGTTCTCCTCTGAAGTCACAGCTATCCACAGACAAAGTGACCATTTCTCATATTGCCATGTCTCTCCGATTTTCTAGCGGGTCCAGGCATATTTGCCTACGGTCTGGAACTGGATCTGTCAGACCATCCAATGGAGGCACAGGCTTTGCAGGTAGCAATGCTTGTGGCAACTCTGGTGCTGGACGTGGATTTTCCTACGCTTTGGGCGGCGGCTTGGGCAGTCTTCCTGGTGGGGACCATGCTGGTGGTATCCCGGGAAGTGGTACCTGTGCTGGCTTTGCTGGAAGTGAAGGGGGACTCTTCTCTGGGAATGAGAAGGTGACCATGCAGAATCTTAATGACCGCTTGGCATCCTACCTGGATAACGTGCGAGCTCTGGAGGAGGCAAATGCTGAACTAGAGAGAAAAATCAAGAGTTGGTATGAAAAACATGGTCCTGGATCTTGCCATGGACTTGATCATGACTACAGCAGATATCACTTAACAATCGAAGATCTTAAGAATAAGGTGAGAATTCACAAACTTGGAACTATTCAAAGTATTTAAAACTAAAAATGATCTAGCAAAAGACACAGAAGTAGAACAGGAAATGCTTCAGAACTGTTATGTATCATTTATATCATATTTATTATCTATTTTGAAACATAATTCTTCCTATTAGCTAAAAACAGGCATTCTGATTCATGAATGTCTATGCAACTTAAATGTTACTAGTTCCATTATTGCTTATTTTGAGATATATTCATTGACAAAGAAGTATTACAGTCTAAAAGTTATATGGAAAGAAGTAAAACCATATTTGTAATTTTTAAAAACAAAATTTTAAACCTTTTTGGTTATTACATAAGGAAGTAAGATTTTTTTTTATACCAAGGTTGATTCTACAATGTTTTTTGTTTGTGTGCTTGTTTGTTTCCTGAAATAATAGGTTGTTAGAGCAGACTTACTGGTTGTGTTCTCCCTCCTGATTTCTTCTAGATCATCTCTTCCACTACGGCAAATGCTAATGTCATTCTGCAGATTGATAATGCCAGACTGGCTGCTGACGATTTCCGGCTAAAGTAGGATATAGAAAATAATCACACCTAGAACATGGTTCTAGTCCACTTAATGTGTTATATAAAATTTCAATTTCACCCCTAAATTTCACCCCATAGAACAAGCTATGGGCTTCCCAGATGGCGCTAGTGGTAAAGAACCCACCCTCCAGTGCAGAAGACATGAGAGGCACAGATTTGATCCCTGGGTCGGGAAGATCCCCTGGAGAAGGGCATGACAACCCACTCCAGTATTCTTGCCTGGAGAATCCCATTAGACATAGGATCCTGGTGGGCTAAAGTCCATAGAGTCACATAGAGTCTGACACAACTAAAGTGATTAGTACGTACGCATAGAACAAGCTATAACCTAAGAGATTAAAGGAAGTAACATATGTGACAATGCAACAACAAAATGCAACACAAAGCATGTTCTAAGATTACAATCAGCTAGACTCACATTTTACATATTTATGACATTCTTGAGCCCAAATATCACTGTATTTCTAGGCCTGCCTAAAATAGTGCCGAGTACAAAGTAAATGTAAATATTTGTTTTAATGGGCCAATTTACAATTTTTACTTTTAACTTCAATAAAATTCTGAAACAGTCTATTTCTACTTAATTGGGATATGCTATTGGAATTTGCATGACCAGATATTCATGCTGATTATTCTGCACAGAATTGTGTGAGAGGAGTGGAGGAGAACTTTCTTTGTATACACTTATAATATTTAGAGACCTGATTTCATTTAACTTTCACTTAAAAGCAGTTGAGCAGTTGAGTAAAGCAGGTTTTACTTTTCGGTCTCTTGAGCTGAGATTCACTAAATGTTTCCTAAGGTATGAAAATGAGCTCGCCCTTCACCAAAACACAGAGGCTGACATCAACGGGTTACGGCGAGTCCTGGATGAACTGACTCTCTGCAGGACTGACCAGGAACTGCAGTATGAATCCCTGAGTGAAGAGATGACCTATCTCAAGAAGAACCATGAAGAGGTAGGGGAAGATTTAGCTCTAGTTATTTTAAATACTTGGGAGTGAAGACTAAATGACAATAGTAACTCGTGCTCCTTATAATAATTCAAACAGTGCCAAGGCATATCAAACAAAGAATTCCATGTCTCCCGCTTTGCCCTTCTAATCTCATCCCCCAAGGTAATACATGGTTAACACTTTGATCTGTATCCTTCAATTTTCTGGCTGTCACAGCCTAACCTTAGGAAATTACTACATTACTTTTCTCTACCACATTCAAATCCAGGAATGTTCAAGTCCTGGATGTTCAGGTACTAAGCATCTTGGGCAAATAGTTTAACCTCTCTGTGCCTCCATTTCCCAATCTGTAAATTAAGTCTGGTAATAGTACCTATCAGTTAGAGATGTTAATACCCCTAAACTGCTTTAGAACAATGTCTGGCATATAACAAGTGCTCAACTGAGAGCTATGGTCCTTAAGGTGAGAGTTCCCAGAGGGCAGGGATTTTTATTTGTTTTTCCACTGCTCTAGTCCCATCAACAAGCACTCTCACTGACATTTCATCGAGAATTATATGCTTGATGCAAACTACTATACATAACATAAACAACAAGGTCCTATTGTACACCACAGGAAACTATATTCAATATCTTTTTTTTTTTTTTTTTTTTTTTTGGTGTTAGTTCTAGAAGTTCTTGTAGATCTTCATAGAACCATTCAACTTCAGC